AGTTTTCAAGCAGACCCTCAATTAACATCGATAGCAAAATAATGAATACGTATTTAAATTTCCTAGCTTACAAAGGTTGACAAAGGAATTTTATTCAACTAGTGTCTGGACGTCTTCATCCTCTTCAGAGCGGAAGATCCGACTCGATGGTCAGATTTATTTATCAACCTCGTGTAAGCCCAACAGTTTAAATGAAAGTAAACGTTGACACTTTTTTTTATATTGTCGTTGTGACTGGAAATGAAATAACAATATTTACTTGCTAGAAATTGAACTTGATATTTCTAGCACAATGGGCGTTGCTTGTTGGCAGTTTTCCGATAGGTACCGGTAATGTTTTAGTGACTAGGAGTCTTAAGGAATTAGGAACTTAAAAGACGAAACTAGAAGAAACTTTGCTCTATAGCTTTGGGGGTATACATAGGTTGTATAAAATATTCTTTTGACTTCAAATTTGTTCGGAACTCAACGTTTGCAAGAAAATCATAATTTCGTATTGATAGGATAGGAAAACTTCGCCTTATTAGCAAGGATCTCTAGATTCCAATTATTCCTAAATTGAATGTTAACGTTCAGTACGAGGTGAAATCTGTTTAATATTGGAGGAAAATACGAACTTTAGTTATTCAAATTTGACAATAAAGATGGAACATGTAAGGGATAAATCGTTCGGCGTTGATCAGTATCATAGAAATTTGCCATACATTCGACTACATCAAGTTTCGCTCGTATACTTGCGACGCTTACCAGTATATTAATTTAGTGTTTTTATTGTCGCAGACAAGTTTGCCGGTTTTGCCGACCAAACAGGATGAACTACTTGGCGTCCCTAATCACTACTCTGCGTAGGCGCTACAAGTTGATGAAAAGGTAAATAATGAAGCAATCGGCGTTGGTCAATCCCTGAATGTTGCGTCATGTATTGGACTTTATGAAACATCGCTGAAGTGATTAATTACATATCTGACGGCGGGCTTCTGCCAGGTCAAGTCAGTTATCCTCCCAAACAAATCTGTTAATAAGTTGCCGACTCTGGAGGGATCTCTTGATGATAATGAGACGCGAGATCAAACCAGTGAGCGGAACCAGTGCGTTTGACAGAACAGCTCTAACCACTGCGCTATACGCGTTCGTAAAGGTGAAGGTTCTTAAAGACGTCCAGAATTGTGACTATGCTGAATGGGACCTATCAAAAACTGCAGATGTAGGTTTTTTGGTAGTGATGAGACTTGGTCACCGTTATTGAATTAAAAAAGTAAGTGTGCATCGATAATTGGTACTTCCTAGGCGAGGGACTTTAGAGATTGCATGTAGGACGGAGAAGGGCTTCCCATGCAGAAAAATAATTGGGTAAACAGGGCACTGTTATGATATCTAAGACCCATAAGTCGTCTCTCTCCAAAACCCTCGGCAATTGTGTTTACAGAAAAAGCGGCATGTTTGGCTTCCTGTTCTCCATAAGTCGAGAAGGATACATTGCGAAATAAATGTTTCCGAGCGTGCGGTTTTACGCATACATTAAAAAATTGTGATAATAAGAGTTTTGGTAACTCATTCCAAATAGAAACTTTGTGGAAAAACACCAATGAGCACATAGCCCGAAAACAAAGCCACGTGGAGTGTACATCTAGACTACAACTGGATCTGTACAAACATCTCTGAATCCTTCTCAGCTGGAAATCAGTTTTGGGTGTTATGTTCAGGAATAGCTGTTTTTCATCTCTAAGTCTCTCAAATTCCTAAAGCATTCTCAGAGCTTATCGATTCATTTTTTTAAAGTTTACGTGACCAGGATCTCAATAAGCAGAGTAGATGTATGTGATTACTATGGTATTGGCTGGAAAAGTCTCATAATAGCTAGTTCAATCCCCATCGTGTGGCAATGACATCGATGCCAAAGAGAAGTTTACGCCCCAACCATATCTAATCATCGAATAAGGTCTCTTTTAATTTAAAAAAGCCTAAATCTTTTTGACGATGGAGCGGTATAAGACGTCACTCTTGATTGGAACAGATTGTCAGTAGTATCCATCGCTGGATGTCGATGCAAAATTAATGAATCACAAAGCCTTTATGCCATTTAATTAGCAGCGCTTGTGGTAGTTATCACCTTTCTATCATCTTTTATGCTACCATCGGAAACGTTCGGGAACATTTCCACGCACATAAATGTGGCTCCGCCACTTAGTCTAGACAACCGAGAACAAACTAAGGTTATAAGTGTGCAGAACGTTTTGGTAAAGCATCGCTGATGTCTTTGCAGATGAACTAACTTTTCGTTCTTTTTCTAAAGTCGCTGCATTTCTGCTTTATCATGCTTTGTGAATGAATATTCATTCAACTTTATTAAAGCTGTAGTAGGCAGTAAATAAAAAGTTAACACATTGTAATTTCAACTACAGCCCCAGCTTAATTGGAGTTCATTGCCGATTTGGGCTCACTAAGTCAATTTCGTTGACGGGATGATTGCTGATGGCACTGATCGATATAACTAGCTGAGAGACAGGCGAAACGAAGGACTCGCATGGTGTGGTGGTGAATGCGTTAGCCTTCGGAAAGGGTAACAGTGCGTTCGTTCCCAACCACCGACACCTGCGGGACGGAGTTTTGCAAATATCTCAGCATCATTGTGTTTATTAAACACTTGAAATATGTTCGTTTCAGTGCGAATATCTCACGAACGCGTAGCGGCTCGATGAGCAAGAAGCAGATCGACCATATTAACAAGAATCGAGGTAGTTTTTCGTATTTCGAATTGGCCTTGGATAATCATTTGTATGCTTGTTCATTAGAGAAGTACTGCACTTTTGTTGTATTTCTCCACACTGGGGAGATCCATTGGTTTATTAGTTACTGCTCCCTTATTGTTTCTTGTTTACTGGGACTATTTCGGAGGAATTTATCATTAGAATTTGTTGAATATCCTGGTACTGCACCCCTTTGATATACTGGATATATCCCACTAATCAACAGGCTTGCCTACCAATAACCTACCGGTTACCAACTTTTTTTTGCTGTAAATACTGCTTTTTGTTTGCGTTAGTCTTTGCTTAAACTTCTGCTAAATATAAAGCAGGCTTACTTTTGCTGATTTGTTGTGAGTAATCTTTAATGAATAAGCTTGAGAAGTCATCAATTCAAGTTATAAAATACAAGACCTGGAATATTTTGTTGGTTTCTGTAAAAAATTAGTGTGAACTGTTGAGAGTTCTGACTTTTCTCATTCGTTCTGGTGATTGCAAAGTGTTTGTGGTTGGCGCACAGTAGTTGAGTTGCCCAGCCAGTTCGCTCCTTCCTTAGTGACTGCCTTCTACCGAAAAGCGGGTTAAATACTTTCTGCATTTAAATTATTGGGATTGTTAGCAACAGTAATGCTAAAATCACGCCACTTGTTGGGCATCTAATTTAAATATTGTTCTATGAGCGAGTAAAACTTCTGTGTAGACACTATGAGTTTGTCTCATGGACTGCCTGGATATTTGAATACTTGGACGGCCCATCCTCACTGGTTTTGCGGGCTTCGGCATGTTTTCCATTTTTGGGAGTTTTGCTGCCCTAGCCATTGTGTTTCCCTGGAGTCCCGTGGTCAGCTTGGCCAAAGTCTTCCTCAGGCCTTCACCATCACAGACAGCGGCCGCCTTTGTGGATCAGAGGGAGATTTGCCATCATGTGACTTTGATACCAGGCCAGTGGTGGTTCCTGATATTGGTTTACTCTTAGCTAGGCTTCCTGATGGAAACGCCGCACTCCTCGGCTTAGGAGAATCTGTCCGGGAAGTATAAATCCCTCCGCTGTACAACCCAACCCGACACCCAGGAACACCTAGCCACGATGAAGCGGTAACCGTTGGGAGGACCTCTTACATTACAGGGACGATTAAATTCGTAGACAAAGATGTGTCAGCAATATCGCTTTTGTTCCTAGTAGTTGTTAGGAAAAATAGTGTTGGTTTTATTTCTTAAGAGTTTTGTTCTCTTATGTTCGCACCATCTACACAATCCCAGCGCGCAGAATTGAAGTAAAAATGAAAATGCAGATTCGAGCGTTGAGAGTGTCGGTAACGCCATACTTGCACTGACGATGTTCACTTGAAGGCATTGAAGTAGATTCGTGTAGAACAGTGAAAAAGCTTGCAGGTGAAGCATGGGAACAGGTTTGAGCCGCCTAAACCAAATGGGGAAGTTGAAAAATCTCGAGTAGTACGTTAAAGACTGAAAGCGTGGTTAGAAGATGGTCATCGTGAAATATTTTCCGTATTTCGTTTTTGCAAGAGTAAACGGTTTTTCTTTTATGACCGCGTTGTGATGTGAGGCGAAAGTAGCGGAAAATGTTACGTTAGTCTAGGATCAGGACAATGATGGGCAAAGATCGCGGAGCGGAATAATTTCCAGGGCTAAATTTACATCAGAAGAAGGTTACAGCAGCTGTTTGATAGTCTGGAGATGAAGTCATCTACTCTACCCGGCAGGCAACACGCACAAAAACTGCGCAGATTCTGCATTTCTTCGATCAATACGGAGAAACTCATTCAGTTGGACGAGAACGCATGTCCCAACACTCCGCAACCGACACCACAGAAGTTGAACGAATCGGGTACGAATATGCTCCATCAAGTATACTGGGTGAATTTCTCAGCAACTGTATAGTTAAAGTTGGAGTCTTCAATACCCAAGCTGCTGCTAAAAACGCTCTCAGAGAATTCGATGCGACCTAAAAACCAGAATTTTACAGAGGTAGATTAGATAAATGTGTATCTGAAATTGATGGTTAAAAACCCGCATTATTTTTTAAACAACTTGACGGAAAGGAATACATTAGTCTCTATGTTTTCACAGTCAAGAGTTAAATTCCGGTCTCTTTATTAGAATGATGAACGGTGGGAGTCTCATCTTTCATTCACCCCAACCCCCAATTTGCAGTCGGCTTTTGGGTGCCTGTCGATATATAGTAGCGATCTAATCCTTTTTCCCTGGTGGGATCCTGTTTTTTTCTGTTGAGAAATGCTGCGTTCCACGTCGTACATTGGAGGCATCGGCGTCAGCGATCGCGGGTCTTTCGAAATGTCAGCTACGCCGCAATCAGCCGGACCCAGTGCTATGGAAGAGAAACGCCTTCACCTCATGATTGACAACAGGTATAACGTTAAATTCTTCATCGATATCAAAAATAGCAACTGAGGCAAAAGAACGTTTTCCAAACGATTCGATCAAGAGTTACATTGTTGACGAAGTTCGAAAGGGTCTAACGGGTGGACTAGACTTCTCAGTTATGTAATTAGTTGTGAGAACATAACTGGCCCTTTGTCATATAATCTGAATTAATAGACAAGTACTTTTGTGTCTAGGTTTTGAATTTATAACAAATAACTTGTCTTTCAAACACCATCAAGTTGTTTTTTCTGACCCTATGTCGATGTTGTAGTGGTGGCTGCTATCGATGCACTAGCATATTATTAGCGACCAATGTGTTAGTCTTTGAGTAATCAAAGAAATATTAGGTAGTATAGCGATTATTTTCCTGATTAGTCGTTGCTGTGTTTCTGCCGTACGGTGGAATGTAGATCACTGTCCTGATACCAACTATTTGGAAGTTCTGTAATGTATAAGTATTTACCCTTTAACGTTTGAGAAGCTGTCAGTACGAGTCCAAAAATAGAAATTGTAGTTTTATGGGACTAAAAATGATCTGTGGGCCACTCCCACTCGGAACCCCCGACGTTGGGTTATGAGCGAGAGAGTTAGAGGCCTGCTTCCTCGTTTAAATTAAGTCCGGCATGGTGATGAACTGTTTACCTGTATCTGCTCCTTGTTTATCACATGGGTCTTGTTGATTATTGCCTTTACAGCGGAAGTCTCGAACCTGGGTAATTAGCTTTGTTTGAATGCGTCGTTTTCCTGTTCAGCAATCGTGAGGTTGTTATACAGCATACATTTACTTCCATAGAAAACACACAATACAATACAACAGTAGCTGATGTTTCGGCAGTATCGCCTTCAGAGCCTGCAAGGGTGTACTGATATACAATCTACTAGGCCAAACGCTTCAATAACACTTACAAAAAGACGAAAAACTCTCCGGTAATTACATGATCAACAGCTTCTCGAAACACTCACCGCTTTTTTCGTGACTTCCAATGAGGAAGGTTAGAACAACTGATTATAGTCGCATATGGTTGATGACTGCACCACCCTACATCGGAAATTGATCCGAGATTCATTGAGGGGTTCTTGGCATTTATCAAAAAAGGCTCAAGAAGCTTGCGCGTTGGTGTTTTAGTCTTCCGGGGCGAGGATATTGGGCGAGATATCAAAATCTTTTCCGCTATACTTTTGTATCCTATGCGTGTCCAGTGGAGTACTTTGTCTTGCCTTTCGTTTGCCATCTAGGTATTCTTTTATACGGACACACAAGGGTTTGCCCGTTTCGCAAATATATTCAAGGGCAAATCATGCACTTTGTTGTTTCACATAGACGGTCATACAGGCGGTTACGAACTAATTGGCGACGTAGAGTAGCCGGTGGTATTTCAACTATCGCTACCGATTCCTCTAGACTTGCCCTTCTTAAACATCGTTTTATAGCTACGCTTACTTCATCGCTTATAAAAGGCAACATGAACGGGACTTTCTTTTGGCCAAGTGTTTCGTTTCGGCGCATCGCTCTCCTTCTAAACTTATCTCGTGCGGTATCTGTTTCGTAGCCATTGAAGATGGCTATTTGTCGAGCCAAGTGGCGCGATTCTTCCTTTAGTTCCCTGGTAGTGCACACAGAGGTGGCTGTTCGAAACATCGTTCTCACAATCGCCGTCTTTGCGTATGAAGAGGGTAAGAAAGGAAATGAACCAGGATGTTTTTGTTACTTGGTTTTCGGTTTTTTGTTACCATTCCCACCCTCTCTTCCTGCACTTCGCACACAAAAGGCCGCTTGTGAGAAACATGTTTCGAACAGCCACCTCTCTTTGCACAGCCAACTAAAGTAAAAATCGCGCGACTTGGCTAGGCAAATGACCGTCTCCAATGGCTACGAAATAGTAACCCCACGAGATAAGTTTGGAAGTAGAGCGACGCGCCCAAGCGAAACACATGGCCAAAAGAAAGTCCTGTTTATGTTGCCCTTTATTAGCGATGAAGTAAGCATAGCTATAATACGATGCCTAAAAATGGCAGGTCTAGAGGAATCGGTAGCCACAGTTGAAATACCACCGGCTACTTTACGTCGTCAATTAGTTCGTAACCGCCTGTATGACCGTCTATGTGACAGCAAATTGCTTAATTTGCCCTTACGGGAGGGACGGTGATTGCATGAGTTCAGGTACGATATACCTGATCTCTTGTAATAATTGCGGAGATGAATATATTGGCAAAATGTGCAGACCTTTGTGTATCCTTATAAAAGAACAGCTAGATGGCAAACGAAAACTAAGACAAAGTACCCCACTAGGCACGCACAGGATACAAAAGCATAGCGGAAACGATTTTCAAGTGAAATTCAATATCCTTGCACAGGAGTCCAAAACACCAGCGCGAAAACTCCTTGAGGCTTTTTGGATCAATGCCAAGAACCCCTCAATGAATAGCAGGGAGTAATGCCTAGAGGTCACACGCGATCTGGTCCCACATATTCGGATCAATTTCTGATGTGGGTGGCGCAGTCATCAACCTTATGCGACTGTGATCAGCTGTTCTAAACTTCCTCGTTGGAAGTCATGAAAATAGTGGTGAGTGTTTCGAGAAGCTGTTGATCATGTAATTGCTAAAGAGTTTTTGCTGTATAACATCCTCGCGATTGCTGAACAAGAAAACGACGCATTCGTACTACTATGCTGAGGTTAAGAGAAATTCGATCCTGGGAACTGTTACAGCTTTATATTTAGTTGTAACATTGATACAGCAATGACCACCTGGCGATAACAGGAAGTGTAAACGGCATAAACGATAGGACATTAATGAAATCGCTAAGTGGGTTCGAATCTACATTTAAATGAAAGTGTAGGTTCTGCAATGGACTGGTGAAGTAGTGTGGAGAAGTGTCACATGGAATACAACTTGACCAGAAGGAGCAATGAACAAGTGGAGTGCCGGAAGAAATGAGACCAAATGGATGGTAGCGAAAGTAGCTTCTATGATACACTTCTGAAATAATGTGAGGAACACGTGCTCCATGAAATACAACAACAACGGTAGTAAAGTGAATCATCGTGGTTGGAAACGGTTGTAGGATTGAAATAGCTTATATTGAATTGAATTGAGGATTGAAATATGTATAGTAATATTCATAACTTGCAACAATGTTTAATAGTGCTTATGTTTATGGAGTCTCGAATAGTTCAAGTTTACAGTATTAGGTGGAACGAGAATGTGAATATTGAGACAGTGTTTAAGCGAATGAAATGGATTACCACGGTTTCTATTTATTTCTGGGGTAGGCGTCGCCCTTTTCAGTTAATTTTTTGTGCGAATACAAATACTAACGTAGATTCCCTCGGCTGTTGGTTTTCTATGTGTGTAGATGCAACTAAGTTGTGATGGTAAGCAAAGTTGCTAGAGAAAGTTAACACTAGCAAGAGGACTTTGCTATAATGGATTGCAATAACTTCTATCATAAAAATAGAACGGAGCAACCGAGTGACAAGAACGCGGTCGTGTAAACTTAACTAGCTAGCGGCGACTGTTTTATATTGGCTTTGTGTGCGCAGATGTATGGTTGTTGACTCCAAGACCATCTCATAAATCACTGTTGTTGCGTCAAAAGCCTTCTACGGAGACGTAAATAGTGTTCTATCTCATCTGATATTAATGCATATCCTTCTATCAAGGGTGTTGCAGCTATCGAACCTAGAGGATGCTTTAGAGGTATAAACAGCGGTTAGAATGTGCTGTTTACAATGATCTGGTATCGTTATTATTGTTGTAACAAAGCCTTGGGTCGCATCTGAATTGGCATGAGTCACTATCAGAAGCCACCCAGAATGAAGTTGCTATAGAGTTTTACGTCTTTCCTAAGGATGTTTATTGGTCGACTTGTCGACAATTCTTTTTACAGCCGACAATAGAACAGTTGGTGAACAAAGAAAAACACTTTCGAATAGCAGTACATTTCATTCTGAGTGTTTAGACGGTGAGCATGAATATCCAATTTCACTTTGTTAACTATAAATAGTTCATCGTATTCTTGTTGAGCAAACGCGAGGTGTTATTTTTACTCTTTATTCACGAGTAAGCTGCTCAGCAAGAACACGAAGAATTACTTGATCAATGCCGAGGTTAACGGGAAGTCGGTCGTGGGAGTTACCATAAATAGTTCAGTCTTTTTTCTTTGTACAAGTCGCACATTTGTTCCTTTCTAAACAGTGAGCACTATCGTATTTCTGAATTAGAATTCCAGTCGAATAAGGACCATCTCGTGTAGCCCGGTTCCGGATGGCTCTGTGAGTGCGGGCACGACGGCTTCTCACCCCGGATTTCCGCTCAGCCAACCATCTAGGTAATAGTTGCTGTTGATGTTGATCCATCACTATTCTGATGCGTTTTACATTAATTTAACCCCAGTTTCTAGCTAACATACGCATCGATTTTCTGCTTTCTTTCTGTCCATGCTCTTATTAATTCATGAATAATAAATTTCGATCGAATAACGCCATGGTTTTCCGATTTTTCCGTCCAGTAATCTACAGTCGATGACTAACCAGTATACATCATTCATTTATTTAATTTGTCTATTTGTTAAGTTTTGCCTGTCTAGCCAATTGAATGTGACTAGTCAATTATTTAAGTTAAATAATAAAATAGAGTCTGTTACAGTCCCATTATGGATGATAATACTTATCCGGAATTAGTGCCGTCTACCTGTTTGGGTGTATCTCGTTCCGGTACGGCCACATTGTTAAACAGAACAATTTCGGATGAAAGTGCGAACAGTTCGAGCAGGTGGGTCACAGCTATGTGGCTTTTACCATACGCTTTTGGTCTACTACAATTCATTTATTCGAGACCTGAATGAATTAATTATTTTTGGAAGCATAAATATGGGAGTCGCTTCTTGACTAGGTGTCGTCATTAGTTAATTACAGTATGAATAATTGTGTCTAAATACGTATTAGAATTTCACGTTGGATAAAGTGCATGATATTAGGAAGACGTTAGTGAACGAACTGCTGATTGAGTAAAAACGACATCTCTCCGCAACTGTTTCGGAATTTTTTTAGATTTTTTATGCTGAAAAAGGATTCGGAGCGGCGGCACACATTGGCGCAGTTCATGTCCGACTACTCTGAACAGGTTAGAGAATATGCTGTGGCATAATGTAGTTTGGAAAATATTTTCAAGCGAAGCGTGTGAGGAATTATTCTAAAGTGTTATAGACCTTTGAACATGTTGTCGACAGTGTAATCGTGGCTACGTTCATACAGCTGGGTTTGTTTTTTCTTGTGGTCCATTGAGTCTGGCGTAAATATTCGTGGATTCAGAAGGAAGAAAATGTAGTGTGACGACTGATGACTACCACATCAACCTTGACATTTGATAAAAAGGAATTTATCAAATTTTTGAAATGAAACTGGATCACTTATGATTCCACAATTTTGGGAAATCACAACTTGATAACTCATTTCATGGTTAAGGAAGGAATAAGAAGTAATTCCCTGTCTATAACCTTGTAATTTAGTCGAGATAGTTGTCGCCGTGAGAGGTTTAGCGTCGTTTTATTCTTACTATCCCTTTTTGCAAGAGCACTGAAGTTGCTATTCAATTCCACAAGCAGATATTACACTAGTCGATAATAAACCCTGATATTTGATCTGATGCATGTTTAATATTTCTTTATAAAATGGAATGCATCCATTCACAGTCTAATAAGTGAGGAAAGTAAACAGTGATGTGCTTAAATTTGTGGCTACCTGCCAGCGAAGCCGTATCGCACACTTCCTGTGCCGCCATTCTCCTGGAGCCTGTTTAATAGGCGTGAGTACCGTGGTGAATGTTGAGCATCTTTTTTCTGGTTACCTTACAACGACTCATCGATTTGCGTGAGAACATTATTATCTAATTCTTAGCCTATTCATATCTCGAATATCTCAAGTCAACATTACTTTCCCGGAATTGATCGAGCCCTTTTTCTCAATTCTTATAACTGATCGGTTTAAAATGAACCGGTAAAAATTTTACGTGGATCCTCAGTGTACTTGAGCCGCTTTTAAATTCATGAACTGAAAAAAGTCTTATATGGGTCTTCTCAAATTAAAATCAGTGGCGCAAAAGTAGTTTGGTTCTTCTTTAAATATTTTTTTGCTTGGCTATAATTCTATTCCTACATGATATTGAAATGTAGGTTGTTGGAAATTAATGGCGGATTTCAAATTATGTTCTTGAAGCCGAACACTTCAGCTAAGGATAAACTTTACTGGTCGAAATAACAACCATTGTAATCTATGCATTTTTGCCAAAGAGAAACAATTTTATGTATACTTAAACTTTATATTTATAGTTACATGGAATTCTAGACGTCTGGGGCGATGAAGTCGTTGAAGGCAGCTTTTGCCAATGCTTGTTTTCTGAAGCATTTCTCGAAGAAACCGTTGTTGAAATGTTTGCAGAAGTGATAGCCGTTAGGCAAGAGGTCTGGCGAGAATGGTGGATGAGACAAAGCTGCTTAGACCAGGTCGCATCTTTTGTAGCCGAGGTTGTACGGCACCTCGCAGCACGTTATGGCGGAGGACGACTGGTCCCAATCTGTTGAGCACAGAAGAGAGATATCGTTGAAGTTTCTAATGCATCTCATTGACTTTTTGGCCGTGCTTTTCTGTTGTAATCGTTTCACCTAAATTTAGAAAGCTGTGATGGATCAAACCAGCGTACACCATCAAGCGGTCAGCTTAACCTTCTTTTGGTGAAATTTCTGTTTGGGAATTGTTACGTAGCTTAAGTGCGGTCTAAGCATTAAGCTCATTATCACAGTTTACCACAGAGGAGCCACTTTTCATCACACGTCAAAATATGGTCGAGAAACGGGTCATTCTGCTTGCGTTCGTGCGGCCTCCATTTTTCGACCTCCTTTTCGACTTTTTTTAAGTGTTCGGAAACAGTTGAGATGTTACGCTGAGTTCTGCAATTTCTGGAACAATTGCTTCCAACCATACCTTAACTTTTTTGTTTTCAATAGCAGAAGGATGTCTGGGACGTTCCTTGTTTTCAAGGATGTGTTTACTACGACAAAATTTTCTAGACCAACATTGCAATGTGTTTTCCTTAACAGTTTGTTGGCACCACAACTCATTAATACTCGCGTGACGATAGACATCACCTACGGGTATTATAATGGTTTTGCGGGAGTGGCCGTTAAGACAAATGTAGGTCTCATTTTCTTTCCGGTATTTTATTTCAACACGTAATACTATTTTCTTACTTTTTTTGTTATCAATTGATAGCCTGTAGAACACTGCTATCGTATTGCGCGTTGGACGGGTAAAGTACTATTCTGGACTTAGAAATGTACGGAAACGGCTTTCCGAACGAATTCACTAGCCTGAAATTTAGATACTAATGGACTACTACTTCAGTTCGGCAAATTGTACCAGACTCGGCTGCGAGGATAGCGGCACTGATTCGACACATCGGCAGGCCACCGCGAGTCATTGTAAAGGCCAGATATGCATTCAATCACCTCCAAACGATGCTTTATGAAGTCGAATGCATGGCGCATCATCCCTCAGGCATTGTTCAATCCTGAGAGCTTTATCCTTTATAGTGCATGACCGTTACCGTCTGGAGTGTGCGGGTATAAAAAATACTGAAATAGAGATCCTTAAGTTGCGAAACGTTTCTAAATACTGGGAATAGTACCACAACGTTGCTGAGATATTTGCAAAACTCTGGACCGCAGGTGTCTATGGTGGGGAACGAACGCGCTATTATCCTTTCCGGGGAGTAACGCGTTCACCACCACACCATGCGGGTCCTTTGTTTCGCACGTCTCTCAGCTATTTCTATCGATCTTTTTGCCACAGCAATCACCCGTCAGCGGGGTTGATCTGGGGAGCGCAAATCGGCATAGAACCCAGTTAAGCTATGGCTGCAGGATAATAGCGCGTTCGTTCCCCACCATAGACACCTGCGGTCCAGAGTTTTGCAAATATCTCAGCAACGTTGTGGTTGTATTTCGCTTAGTAACCTGCCATGAAAATTATAGAAGGCAGAAAACAAAAACGTTAAACACTGGGAATAGTGTTTGTACGATGGTGTTGTACGATGGACCATAGAAACATGTAGTAAATAATATTATAAATATCTTTCATACCCATGGAACAATAGAGCAAAACCTTTTCTACAACCCTTTCGTGTGCAGAATGCACGAAGTTCTCTAGGAATGGAAAAATTATGTTTATTTTCAAAAAGTGAAGTTCATGAAAGATGAAAATTGGGCGTCGTCCTGTCTACAACAAATCCGAAGCTTAGTATTTTGAATTCGTAGAAGTAGATTTTTCGAAACTGCTGTTTCGGCATTTGAAATCGAGTTGTTTAAAATTTTTCGAAAAGCACAATTTACAAGTGAATAAAGTGGACTTTGCAATATGTACATTATAAAAACAAGTTTTGATAGAACCTATACAAGGAAAATGAAATTGACAGTTCAACATTAATTTCGGAACAACCAGTAGTATATTTGGGGTGAGAATCGCGCAGTAGTTAGTGGAGGCATCGATCGGGAAGCGAAGGCGCTAGTTCGGTTCCCGTTCCAACGCTTTTCTGCAATCCACGCTTTAGCCGGACTGTCTCCAAGATTGCAAGGAGAACCGACTCGACCAGTATTTTACAACGTTCATAAATAAGACGAAATCTCATGTAGCAGCTGAAACAACACGCAGAATGTTCGAAGACCATTGTGGACGATGAGCGGTAGGAAAACGAATCGAATAGGAGAGGGGCTGGGCTCTGCACAGTAGATGCGATGACGGGTCATGCGAAATAAAAAAATTAAATAGAATGTCTGTGATACTCTGTCTTTTATACGGAATACAAGCTACTATCTTGTGAGATGTGGAATTTTTGTGTTGTCTATTTTTGTTGTCTGCATTGTTGGTAACGGGCGAGAAGTGCTGGACCATCACTGTGACTTATGGTGGTTCTTACGAAGTGTACTACTTTCTTTTTGCAGTTCTGCTTTCTTCTTATATCTTGACTTCAATTGTTTTTTAGATCATCGATACATGGATGCGTGGTATTATTGCGTCAATGGACAGTGTCAAAGTAGTGGTAAGTCATTTCTACTCGTCTGGAAGACAAAGAAAGTTGTAACAAAGTAAGTTGCAATACAACTGGTTCCCCGTTGTAGTGACATATAACAATCTTGTAGACCCTCATTTTTGTTATTTTTGGTGACACGTTAATGCCAATGCTTTATGAAGTTACGGCTTAAAACGGAAAGAGAAAAAGGAAGGTGAAAAACCAAAGGACATGTATTTTTTATTACCTTCCAGTAACACTTTTCATTATTTTTCATATTATTTTACTTATCTTATGCTTATTATTTTATTTTTATACTATTTTCATTTCACACTGTTCGGTGTGCCTTACAATCAGTTTATTTTCGTTATAAATTTGGCTTTTCTACAAGAGTTCTTTAACAAGTGCTGTCATATAACTGATTGGATATTTGTCTTTTTTATAAGATTCTCAACAGCTTTTCGGTTTTGTCCGTTGACCTCTCTCCTTCTTAGCATTAAGTTCTAATCAATTTTTCTTACGGTATTAGTCAATTCAGGTCACAACGCACATGCTGGAGACGTTACTCGACGGGATGCGTGAATTTCTACTTAGGAAGGAAACGAGGCACATACAGGATGCACTGGATGAGATTCGCTGTTTACTTGACTACGACACGGCGAAAATTTCCCAAGTACTGGTTTATTGACAATGCAGTTGTAGTTGGGCTGTGAAGTTAATCTTAGCACTTAAGTATAACCTCTAAAATATGAAAGCTGGAATGTTTTGTGCTGTTGGTCGTGATAAATCGTAAGGAATCCTAAGGAATCCTTGTTCTTAGTCCTGAGGAAGTTACGGTATTTCGAACGAAAGGAGCAGATGCCGTAGTGAAATGCAATGAAAATTTGTGGAAAGAGGAGTCCTACCAGTTTCCTTTTTTTAGTAACTCTAAGAATTTAATAGCTTATATATCCCACTTTCGCTGTGTTATGGCCTCCAGTTTGTTTTAAAAATGCTCTAAAAGAGATAGGAGAAAGCTCCCAAGAGAGGTTTCATACTTAGGTAGGGAACAAATCAGTTAGATGGTTTTTTAATTTTAGGTTCTAGTATTCAGACATTACCAGTGTTTTTTTTCTTCGTTGCATCCCAATTGTAATCTAAGCTGAGTTTCTAGCAGTAGGTTTTTCGAGGCGTGTGTTTTTTTCCTTTTGAGGTATGCAAAAAGATGAGCCAATTTACTTCCCGTGATAATTATTCCCTAAAAACATCTTTGTATTGGCAGGAAAAGTGGACGGATGTTGAAATGAGGTTTCCTTTACAGGTGAATATGGCAATCTTCACTTTCTCGGATTCGATCCAGCCAGTCCTTCGACGACTCGATATCAAGCCGCACTGGATGTTTGCGCTATCAAACCTGATTCAGAGCGCAGTGCAGACGGCAATTTCGCTGTTAAGCCCAGATGTCTCGGCTCAACTGCATGTGAGTTGTTCTTCCACTGTCAGTCATGAACCATCATTATTTACTAATCTTTTGTTTCCGTCGAAAGTACTTGTTGTTTGGTTGAGTGGACATAAAATAACGAGTCCTCTCGTAATGCATACCGTATCGACATCAGCCAATCAGAATCCGTCCTTCGTCGGTGATTGTACAAACTGTCTTCGCCTCAAATGCACTGGAGGTTTTGTAGCTGGACCACGTCTAGCTAGTGTACGAAAGTAGTGTTTAATACGTGCTTGAAATGCACTATACACTATGCATATATGGGAAGTGGGCAAAGTAGTAGACCTACTTCGCATCCTGTGCGTTTTCTTTTCAACCGTTTATTTCTCAACGTAATATTTTTTCTGTTCTTGTAATTATTCAATGACGGTGGCGTACCGATATAGAGAGTTAGTGCTGCTGTCCTCCCAGACAGGTCTGGTACCAATTTGCCGAACCCAAAGGAATGAAAGGCTTGATGAGCCTGTGGCGCGGGTTCGAACTCAAGTGTATTGCACGGCGCCTCCGACCACAGTGCACCACGCGCACCTGCTACATTACAACATGAAATTAGGCGTCTTCAAACATCGCACATAAGTGAAATTGAGTGTTAGGCATTATGAATTGTTCTTTGGCATTTCAACGCTGATCGTTAGCCACTTTAGGTGGGTAGAAAGTCTATAGATATATTAGCTCTGATAAGTAACAGTTCATTTACTGGCCCATCAGGCGTGAAAAATTAATATCTATATAATTGTTGTTGTAGAAATTGTGATAATCCAGAATTTTATGGAACCTTCAAACCAGTTACCACATTCCGTTTAAGAGTCAAAAAAGTGTCCTACTATGAGGAAACAGGCTATGTGTATTGTAGAAGACCGGGGGAACATAATGTAAATTCACGGCAATTACCGAAGGGCCTTCACATAGATTTATACAATGGCTGTCGGTTAATTGGTATTCATGACAAAATAAAGCAGTAACTCCCACGACCGACTTTCTATTAACTTGATCAAGTAATTGATTGATCATTGATCAAGTAATTCTTCCTATTTTTGTTGAGCAAACGCGAGGTGTTATTATTCTTTATTCACGAATAAGCTGACGTTTCGGCGGATTTCGCCTTCCTCAGAGCCTGGAAAGGTCAAGTTGATAGCAATCTACTCGGCCAGACGCCTCCATAACCAAACAAAGAAACTCTAAACCAAGATTTCAACCACGTTGAACACAGCTTTGCACACTCCCCGCTTTCTATGAGGTTTCCACTAAGTATGTCACGTAGAGACCAACCGCACAGAAATCACATGGAAGCATAATGTGCCCCTCCCATCAGAATAGCAGTCTTATATACTGCCCTATATCACGCGTGATAATGAGGCATTCTTTCCTGCGGTTCATTTTCGGATTTCTGGAATTAATCCAGAATGCCTCGAGAGTTTTTCGCGCCTGTGTTCTTGATTCGCGTGCGAGGATCGTGACACATAATTCAAAGTCCTCCTCGTTATTTCTCTGGGTCCTATGCGTGCCTAGCGGAGTATTTGGTCTATGTTTGCCGGCTAGGTGTTCTTTTAAACGCACCCAGAGTGGTCTACCTGTTTCGATTTTCCGTTTCTATCCTTTTCCATTGCACAATCCTCGTCCCAAGTATCAAAATTCCCACCAGAAAAAACCACCTGGAATTCTTTCCTAGGAACCGAGACTTGATCAAAAAGAACGTCTGAAGAACGCAACATTGAGATCCTCGGATTACGATGGAATAAGCAAGGAGAGCGACTGTCCGACTTTATCATGATGACCAATATCTTTCATTGCAACTAGTAATGTCAGAAGTCCCACTCTTAACGCTGGACGTGGTACTCTCTCGATGGAGAGTAAAAAGGGTAAAGCTCTCGACTCAATTCTTGAGGGATGCACCATGCATTCGACTGTATATTCAATAACTCGAAACATTTCGACTTCAACTCGAAATCAAGTTCACCCTAGAGAAATAGAAAGAAAAATGGCTTCCATTCTTGAACGTCCAAATTAACCTGTCAGAAAATGGCTACATTACGAAGTGGTACCGAAAGCCAAGTATTAAAAACATCTTGGTTCATTACCTCTCCTCTGACCCCTCTCACACGAAAAGGGCGCTTATAAGAAACATGTTTCGAACAGCAATCAACGTGTGCACGGGAAGAGAGCAGAGAGGAGCCCCGGAACCTGGCACGGCAAATAGCCATTTCTAATGGCTACGAAACTGTACCTCAGGATAGGTGTAGGGGAAATGCTAAGCCTCCGAACAACATCTCTAGCGATAGAAGGGTCCCGTTTATCCTACCCTTCATCTCAAATGATATAAGTACTGCTATAAAACGCTGCTTAAGAAGGGCGGGCTTAGAGAATTCGGTGAGCGTAGTTGAAATACCACCGAGTAATCTTAAGCGCCAGCTAGTTCGTAACCGCCTAGATGACCGTCTATGTGCAACTCAAAACTGCATAATTTGCCCCAGTGGTAGAGACGGTGATTGCATGAGCTCGGGTATAGTTTATCTGATCTCCTGTAAGACGTGTGGTGACGAATACATTGGCGAAATGGGCAAACCCCTCTGTGTCTGCATAAAAGAACACCTAGCCCGCAAACATAGACCAAATACTCCGCTAGGCACGCATAGGACCCAGAGAAATAACGAGGAGGACTTTGAAGTATGTGTCACGATCCTAGCACGCGAATCAAGAACACAGGCGCGAAAGACTNGCCCCGGAACCTGGCACGGCAAATAGCCATTTCTAATGGCTACGAAACTGTACCTCAGGATAGGTGTAGGGGAAATGCTAAGCCTCCGAACAACATCTCTAGCGATAGAAGGGTCCCGTTTATCCTACCCTTCATCTCAAATGATATAAGTACTGCTATAAAACGCTGCTTAAGAAGGGCGGGCTTAGAGAATTCGGTGAGCGTAGTTGAAATACCACCGAGTAATCTTAAGCGCCAGCTAGTTCGTAACCGCCTAGATGACCGTCTATGTGCAACTCAAAACTGCATAATTTGCCCCAGTGGTAGAGACGGTGATTGCATGAGCTCGGGTATAGTTTATCTGATCTCCTGTAAGACGTGTGGTGACGAATACATTGGCGAAATGGGCAAACCCCTCTGTGTCTGCATAAAAGAACACCTAGCCCGCAAACATAGACCAAATACTCCGCTAGGCACGCATAGGACCCAGAGAAATAACGAGGAGGACTTTGAAGTATGTGTCACGATCCTAGCACGCGAATCAAGAACACAGGCGCGAAAGACTCGAGACATTCTGGATTAACTCCAGAAATCCGAAAATGAACCGCAGGGAAGAATGCCTCATTATCACGCGTGATATAGGACAGTATATAAGACTACTATTCTGATGTGAGGGACACATTATACTTCCATGTGATTTCTGTGCGGTTGGTCTATACGTGACATACTGAGTGGAAACCTCATAGAAAGCGCTAAGTGTGCAAAGCTGTGTTCAACGTGGTTGAAATCTTGGTTTAGAGTTTCTTTGTTTGGTTATGGAGGCGTCTGGCCTAGTAGATTGCTATCAACTTGACCTTTCCTGGCTCTGAGGAAGGCGAAATCCGCCGAAACGTCAGCTTATTCGTGAATAAAGAATAATTACACCTCGCGTTTGCTCAACAAAAATACTAAGAATTACAAAATAAAGCTTTCTTAATAAACTAGTCAGAGGTATACTCTCATGTTATATTTATAGAATGTTTCCCTGCATGGCTATCACAAACGAGCTGGGTTATTTTTATTTTTTTTCAATGATGTAGTAATCATTGTAAATTTAATGACGAGGACATTTGATTATTATGCATATATACATACATAATTTAATACCTTATAGAAATATTGTTTCCTTGTTGACCCCTCGACGAGAAGTTTTGTACTGAGTATTTTATTTTATTTTTATTGAGATAATTAAGATATAGTGTTTTACCTGTTTAGAAGATTACAAGATGTTTCTCTATACGACTTTTCCGTAGGTCCTTTACTTTCGCAAGGGTTCTGCTTTTCATTTTCCATTGGTAATTTTCTATCGGGGTTGTTGTGTTTCAGGTCCAAGACGCGGCTACACTGGTTACGTATTTGGGCCCGCGGACTTCTGTCTCCAGGGAGTCCGGTCAGTCTGAAATAGAAATAGCAGATAGCAGTCGTCCTCCTTCACGTGATGAACGAAGAGAAGAGCGCAGAGAATACCTGAACGCTATCACCGAAGCGAACGACAAACTACGAGAAAAGTATGTGGATTCACACAACCGAATTTCTATTAACCTCGGCATTGATCAAGTAATTCTTAGTATTTTTGTTGAGCAAACGCGAGGTGTAATTATTCTTTATTCACGAATAAGCTGACGTTTCGGCGGATTTCGCCTTCCTCAGAGCCTGGAAAGGTCAAGTTGATAGCAATCTACTCGGCCAGACGCCTCCATAACCAAACAAAGAAACTCTAAGCCAAGATTTCAACCACGTTGAACACAGCTTTGCACACTTAGCGCTTTCTATGAGGTTTCCACTCAGTATGTCACGTATAGACCAACCGCACAGAAATCACATGGAAGTATAATGTGCCCCTCACATCAGAATAGTAGTCTTATATACTGTCCTATATCACGCGTGATAATGAGGCATTTTTCCCTGCGGTTCATTTTCGGATTTCTGGAGTTAATCCAGAATGTCTCGAGTCTTTCGCGCCTGTGTTCTTGATTCGCGTGCTAGGATCGTGACACATACTTCAAAGTCCTCCTCGTTATTTCTCTGGGTCCTATGCGTGCCTAGCGGAGTATTTGGTCTATGTTTGCGGGCTAGGTGTTCTTTTATGCAGACACAGAGGGGTTTGCCCATTTCGCCAATGTATTCGTCACCACACGTCTTACAGGAGATCAGATAAACTATACCCGAGCTCATGCAATCACCGTCTCTACCACTGGGGCAAATTATGCAGTTTTGAGTTGCACATAGACGGTCATCTAGGCGGTTACGAACTAGCTGGCGCTTAAGATTACTCGGTGGTATTTCAACTACGCTCACCGAATTCTCTAAGCCCGCCCTTCTTAAGCAGCGTTTTATAGCAGTACTTATATCATTTGAGATGAAGGGTAGGATAAACGGGACCCTTCTATCGCTAGAGATGTTGTTCGGAGGCTTAGCATTTCCCCTACACCTATCCTGAGGTACAGTTTCGTAGCNCCACTTTGTAATGTAGCTATTTTCTGATAGGTGAATTTGTACGTTCAAAAATGGAAAAAAAAAAAAAAAAAATTTCTCTAGGGTGAACTTGATATACTCTGACTGTGCGTTTAACAATTCAAAGCATTTGTCCATTTCCTCTTGTGTTGAGCAAAGGACAAAGCAGTCGTCTACATACCTACAGTAGAGTAGCGGCCCGAGATCAGTCACCGGTGCTTCCACCTTAGACATAAATGCAATGGCAAGGCTTGGAGCCAGTCGTTGTCCCATTGCCAACCCTCTTATTTGTGTGNATTATGCAGTTTTGAGTTGCACATAGACGGTCATCTAGGCGGTTACGAACTAGCTGGCGCTTAAGATTACTCGGTGGTATTTCAACTACGCTCACCGAATTCTCTAAGCCCGCCCTTCTTAAGCAGCGTTTTATAGCAGTACTTATATCATTTGAGATGAAGGGTAGGATAAACGGGACCCTTCTATCGCTAGAGATGTTGTTCGGAGGCTTAGCATTTCCCCTACACCTATCCTGAGGTACAGTTTCGTAGCCATTAGAAATGGCTATTTGCCGTGCCAGGTTCCGGGGCTCCTCTCTGCTCTCTTCCCGTGCACACGTTGATTGCTGTTCGAAACATGTTTCTTATAAGCGCCCTTTTCGTGTGAGAGGGGTCAGAGGAGAGGTAATGAACCAAGATGTTTTTACTACTTGGCTTTCGGTACCACTTTGTAATGTAGCTATTTTCTGATAGGTGAATTTGTACGTTCAAAAATGGAAGCCATTTTTCTTTCTATTTCTCTAGGGTGAACTTGATATACTCTGACTGTGCGTTTAACAATTCAAAGCATTTGTCCATTTCCTCTTGTGTTGAGCAAAGGACAAAGCAGTCGTCTACATACCTACAGTAGAGTAGCGGCCCGAGATCAGTCACCGGTGCTTCCACCTTAGACATAAATGCAATGGCAAGGCTTGGAGCCAGTCGTTGTCCCATTGCCAACCCTCTTATTTGTGTGTAGTACTTTCCAGACCATCTGAAGATTGTGCAGGTCAAGCATTCTTTTAAGAGTGCCATCAACTACTCTATCTCGAAGCCACACATATTTATTTCTCCTTCGTGTTGCATAAGGAGTTCAAATATGGCTTGCATTACGGAGTCATTCGACACGTTTGTATAAAGGGCGGTAACGTCGAAGGACTCCATCACGTACGCGCCGCTGGACTGCGTAGTACGTAAACGATTCAGAAACATCTGGGTATTCGTAAGATGGGCTGGAATGTGCTTCAACAACTGGTTAAATATTAGGGTTAAAAACCATGTTATCCTGTCCGTTGGCCCGTCTACGCAGCTAACGATAGGTCTAACCTTAAATAGTGATGGATCGGTAGACGGAAGATCATCTCTGGATACTAACTTATGAGTTTTTATAAGTACAAGACGGGGCATGTTGGTAAGTCAACTTTAAGTTGAGAGATAACTGATGGTTTTAAACCAGCAGCCCTTGCAATTTTGGCCCATTCATGGTTCAATTTTCGGTATTTTCTTTTAAATTCCTTCTCAGATGATGGGCGATGAAGCGAAGCATCTTCAAGATGCTTTTTCGTTATCTCCACATCTAACTGATGAGGAATTACGACAAACTCTCCTCCATTTCACTAACGGATAGTCTTATGGTTTTCAACCTTATCAGCTCTCGTACCTCTCGCATAGCACGTTTTTGCACTAGAGTGAGGTTTGAGTTGTATCTTTTCGCGCGGTAGTGATTAAGGACTTTGAGAGTCAGCTTATTCGTGAATAAAAAATAATAACACCTCACGTTTGCTCAACAAAAATACGAAGGGTTATCAAAATTTAAATCCGATCCAAAAATAGAACACTTTTGATCTGCTAGGAAAGCATAAGGACTTTCAAAAAAATGGAAGGCGTCATGGCCCATTTGCTGATCTGATGAGCAACTTATCGCTTGTGAATTTAGGCTCATCGCTGCACAGGAAGAACTAAAACAGCATCTGATTTCCGGCATTGCGCAAACGCAGAACATGCGCGACATGGCAGCATCGTGTTCCAGCTTCATACCGAGTAACGAGTTGCAGTTCTCAGTGATCTATACATTGTTCTAACAGTACTTCAGTGACACATATTCACGAAATTTATAACAGCTTCCAATTTCTTCTTCCTTTCATATCCATCTTCTTCCAGAGTGGTCCGATTTATCCTCGACGACATTTACTAGTTAGGTTCTCTATCACAACCAGCCTGCTTGTCCATTGGTAGAGCAAGTCAACTATAGTATACAATTGTGGACAGCGAGGTTTATGCTTTCACACTGTCAGAATCTTCATTGAATTCTACGAATTGGGGAAAATGGCGTACCTTCAACATCATGACATGAAGGATCATAAATGATTTATTACTCAATGCCATCGTTAACAGAAATTGGGTCTTGAGAACTATTTGTGCAAAGCTCGTTGCGGTCATTCCAAACCACAGTTTTCCTCGGGCAACTCTTGAATGATTTTGAAAATTGTATTCAAACTTCTTGATTAGGAAACAGAGGCGTGTTTTGAGTTCATGGTTTTGGAATCCTTCGACACGCTACTCGGGGTCGTCGATTTCTTCTTTCTCACTATACCAGTCATAAAGAGATGTTTCATTCAAAGCAGATATCTAGTACAGAGTTCTGGTATGGTATTAGGGAGGCTTCAGTCGTTAAAGGTATGCCATAGATCTCGGCCGAGTTGGGTCATTTGGAAATTCAAACTCTAGTGTTAATGTTTTAGATCATAAGGAGTCAGTTTTCGTGGATAAGAGTGCTGTAAATACAGTGTAAATAAAATTTGAACTCTGACGAACTTTCTACGTTTTTTTTCGCATTTCAACTATTTAGAATTTTTCTACACCATATTCATTCAGTGAGCCTTCTCAGTATAGCATAAGTTTTCGACGAAATTGTACTTGTATTTATTGTAGGTCACTTATTACGTTGGCTTTTAGCACGTTCTAATTCTTTGCTATTGGACCTCATGAGAATCGCTTTACCATACTGACTATTTTCCAAGGGAGAACTTGAACATAGACGTCTTATAGATATAACCTCATCCGAAGTGAAGTGTGCACACGACAAACTGGAGCCGTCAGCTTTCCATTAGGGGATTCCTCTTCGCGGTTTTATGTCATTCCAATAGGTTTTTTCTGTAACGACCACGCGGAATTTAACAAAATCGCGAATGTGCTTATTTTCAGCTAACTTCTGGTGTTAACTTTTATTTATCGGCTATTATTTTTTCTTTAACAAGGTGTTGTGTCAAGTAGAATCACAATGATGCTGAGATATAAGCAACAATCGGAGCCGCCTTTGAGCTCTCGACTACCGTTTCCAGGATCTCACGTTTTATCCACTGCACATTCGAGTCCCTTGCTTTCCCTTCAATCACCTAATTTTTAACGTTCACGGTGCCTTCAGCAGTCACCCTATTTTGATTTCGAGTTTTGCCCATATCTTAATATTGCTGATACTTTCAAACGCAGGCAGTACATTGGAAAACGTCATCGTATTCTATTTGAAGAATTTCACTTGTGTAATCGCTTTCGTGTTGAGAATGCAAGCCTCAGCGGAAAAACCGAAAATATATTTCGTGGACTTCATAAAATCAAAATTTCGTTCCCATGAGGAAACAAGATAGCATCTTGGAGCAAACTATGGGCACTGTCGTTTTTTATTTCAATCAATAAGGTGTCTTATGAACTGATGATCTTCAATCGGTCATTATCTAGGCTTCATGTGAACTATATATGACATAATGTAACTGTGTTTATAGTGTACCGTATTTTGTGGAGATCGGCTTATGAGGAGACTTCGAGTGACGTGAGTCGAAGTACAAAATAGGTTTCATGTCAAGTCATCAAAAAGCGGGGATTTTTTTCTTGAATCGGTAGCAATAATATCTGGCAATTTTTGAGGTATCATCATACTTCACCATTTTTTTTATACCACCTAATGTCATAGACGAATCGGATCCCTTTGAGTTCAACAGGCTCGGTTTTCTCATGGTGGGGATTTAAGGAAATCTGTTGTGTGATTTTGTGCTACACGTGTCATAATGTTCTGAAGTCACCGAGTTCTTGAAGCAAAGAGAGTTTTTGAGACGACGATCTGTCAGAAAGCGGGAGTTTCTGAAACATGTTTACTTTAAGCTAGGACAAGTTTTCGCCTAAGTTCCTCACGTCGCACTCAATCTTTCGGTGTGTGGCCATGTCTGTTCTTTAGTCAAGATTCTATGTTAGAGTTCACCACATCGAGTCACTAGTAACTTCCCATGGTGAGGCGGCAGACACTTACTGGAGTGGTTAAAATGGTTAAAACTGGTTTTTTTGTTTGACTTCTTGTTTACTGCCTGTTATTTTTTTCATGACAGGGTTTTTCATATAATATGTGAGATACAACTATTATAGAATGGTGCTGAGATATTTGCTAATCTCGAACCCCAGGCCAGGTTCAAACCTACGATTACCCTTTCCAAATTACCCAATGCACCACTGACTTTATTTGCTTTTATTTTTCCGTTCTTGGGTTTTAATTACCATTTCGGCGTCGTTCAGGTGCATTGTCGAGTGCACTGTACAGTGGATGGCGCGGCGCTCCTTTGCGCAGCACTTATCCTCCATTCAGTAACGGTACCCTTCCACGATTTGATGCAATCTCATCACCGATTCACAAAAATCACAAAATAAATCATACAGTCGATGGTCACATGAGCAGGTACTGCCGTTAAATATTAACAGTTTTGGAGTCCAATTTTTTTATCTTTTTTATTTCATTTTTGTGTGTTTTTCGGAAGGTTGTCATCTCCATTTCGCAACCTTGACCAATAAGGAGAAATTTTGATGCTGTTGATTCAGAGCAACCGAAGAGCTGGTGTCATGGTTACGTTCATTAGAAATTGATGAGCGGTCGTTGCGTTTGATTGTCGCTGAACAGTATACTAAACAGGATATATTTGAGCTTGTGACGAGAGAAGAACTGTTGGCGTTAGGCGTAACGTGAGTACAGTATTGTGGTTTTATTTGAGCCGATTTACAGATGTCGAAATGACGCTTTGCTGTGAGCTAGAGTACTTTACAATCCCTGATATTAGTCCTAATAATATGGCTTCTCCTATTCTCTGCATTATTTAATTTTCATTGCGTCATGATCGATAAAGGTCCATAAAAAGTTCGTCAACAGTTAATATTGCTTCATACGTGATCCTATTTTTTAGCCCGTCTTCAACTATTACATTACTAGCATCAAGCAATATTCTTTTTTATTTTATAAATTAGAGAGTATAAAAGAATGGCTTGGTGGGCAACTTAAGGTAAAACAAAGTGTTTCACCAGGCTTAAATTTTTATCTTTTTATTTTGCTTTAATTTTCAATTTTTCGTAAAACTATTGGAATTAACACCCATTGCCATTACCCCTATAGGTGTGATTTGTGGGAAGACATTGTGACCGGTGTAACCTCGACGGAGGACATTTCCTTTCTGGTGGCTTATTTTGGCGCATGAAAACGTTTTGCTAAACTCGTTGTAATCAGTTAGTGACTTAACCAACATTGCTGTTGTGGCGGGCTTTGGCTGTGGAAAACTTTATCTCGCACTTAGAAATATACACAGAACTCTTGAGTTCATAACTGGTAATTTGACTAGTAGTTGATTGTTGTTTCAATTCTAATTGCTGTAATGAAATGAACTATATTTATCATATGAAATGAGTCGGTGGAAAAAATAAAGTGTGCTCAACATAAACTGCAAATGCTGACAGCAATGTTTAAATGACGGACCATATAAAATATGCTAATCCATCTACCCATCCGTACGCATAGAGCACCTCATCCATGCGCCATCCAGAGCGATCTAACCAAGTCTCCTTTACAATTCTGTCATGTTCTGAACCCATCAGATAGCTATTATAGTTTTCGATATACCACCGTTTTTCGTCGCAAAACCAACAAGACCGCAATGACATTGAATTCAACCAATTACGTTTTATAAGAAGCGTTTTTTTTTTGAAAAAGTTCATTACCCCCTCATTTCACTAGCAGTTAACTGTTATTTCCGTAAATCGCTATGATGAATCATGGTTATTTTATGAAATGTGCAGGTAGAAAAAGCTCAGAAATAGGTCCAACCTAAGCTGTAAAACCTTCCCAAGTGCTGGTAACATTATACTCAAATGTTAGGCCATAGTAACACATAGTAAAAGGTAGCATACATATAATTCATGCCCTTAAAGCGACTGAACAAAACCTCTTCTAGAATTTCTTTACATTTCCTCAGTTCCTCCAGTTATTGAAAAATGATTGTTCATTGTCGAAAAAACTGGCTAGTCCGCAACTGAGGATGGATCCGCTCGTGTCCATTGGATCAGCCACACAAAAGTAGACGTTGTTGCGAATGGGTTAAGCAACCGAGCACAACATTTGACTCTCAGAAATCTTGTGGGGTTGCAGCAGCCGTTGTTTTCCAGTGCTTTAATGAATGAATGAGATGAGTTATTTCTACTTTTTTGTTTATTTCATAAAATAGTACATAGTTCACACAGCTGTCATTCCATGTTAGAGGAGCAGTGTAAGTATGCATATAACTAGGTCACGTCAAAATTCTATAAGTACCATGATCAAAAGAGAATGTATGGGATTGTTAGGAGTTTCGACTATTAATCATTCTCTCACTTCCTGAGGAAGCTATTGAGTTCCGTCGCATTCGTTTTTCACATGTCAATTATAAAATATTGCTTCCGTTTGCTTCTTTGAGATAATGTTGTGTTAGCTGGAGCTGGAAAAAGTGGTGCGAAACATTACTGTATAAGCTTGCTGATATTTCTCGACATAGCTGATAGCCTAAATTTGCGCTATATGGTATTTCATGACGTCCTCACCGTTCCGTTCTAACTTATTTAATGTGAAGACGAGTCATATCCAAATACTCTTTTCGGCTGATTACAAATCATGGTGTAAAATTTGCAGCAAACCTTGTTTATCGTAGTAACAATACAGTATCCTATAGTAGTAGACGAGATTTCCTGGAAAATTCGCTATTTTAGCGGCGGTGCCACATGTCGGATTTGGCGCGTGGTCTGTGAAACACGGGAACGTTCGCGGCGCGCTCCGGTGTTTCTGTCACCCATGCGAAGTCGCGATGATTCGCTGGACGACTACCACTCTTCAATCGCTGATGAAATGTACACAGTAGCTGAAATGACCTGAAAATCTTCTAGAAGTTTAGGCTGTGTTAATACCACCAGTCACCAGTAATTGTCCTCAGGGTTTTGTGTGTATGTTGTGTATGTATTTGACTATGTATATATGTGTGTATCAATGTATGCATGTATGTATATATCTATGTATCTATGTGTGTATTTGTGCATGTATCTGTAAGGGTATATGTGTATGACATTTGTTTTGAGAGTTTGCTCCACTGGTATTTATAGTGGTTCTCGTTACCGTCACATTACAGAGTTTGTTTCTTCACGACTTCGCACAAATGGTTGTTTTGTACGTATCATCATTAGCAAAAATGGCCGGTATATTCGGAAATCTTATCTTTTTTCAGGTTTTGCTATAGTTTGCACAATATAATATGTAGTTGCTTGAGCGATTTGTCACTAATCGAATTCATTGCCAGCTGAGATTGATCGTGGACTATCAACATCTTCTTTTCTTCTTGAGCAGACACGAGGTTTCCATCAATAACGTTTATTCAACACTGGCTAATGTCCCGGCGGTTCCGCCTTGTTTAGAGCCTGGGAAGGTCAAATTAACATGAAACCTACTCAGCCAAACACTTCTGTTACCCAAGCAGAGAAATCTCAATACATAAATTGCATTTGCATAGTAAACAGCTTCTTTTGAACACTCAGCGTTTTTCTCTTCCTGTCTTCCAGCTATTGTTGGAGACTAGCCGCACAAAGTCTTGTATGAGTGAGGAATGGGGCTGGCTCAGGTAAAAAGAAACCGGGGCCAAGTACACTCCATTTCCGATATCAAAATCCCCGTCCAACTCACTGCTTCCTGCACATTCCTCTAAAGTCTGTCTCTGTCACTATCTCAGAGTTATTCTGCATTTTTTGTTCTATATCATTATTAGTCAGATTTTTATGCTTCTGCTGTTCTCCTCGTGTTGTGAAGCTAACTTTCCCACTTGGAATTTTTCCAGTGTTTTCGTATTTTTCTCGCCAATATCTTTTCTTCCTCACTATCTACGCCTGTCCCAGTCTTACCATATGTGGACTTATTGTCTCATCTAATCTCCTGTTGTGCCTTAGCAAAGTATTTTACGTCTAGCGATTCAATCGTTTCATTCGGAAACTGGTGGTCCCGTTTCCATAAGGCTGCAGCGATTCGATATCCACAGAAAGTAGGCGAAATGTTATTCATTATGATGGCATGTGCCATTTGGATGTTTTCATCCAGTGTTTACTAAAAGAGGACAAGAATAGATATTTTCTGCTTCGCTTGATCACATATATCATCTGTAAAAACAACTGGCGAGATAATGAGGAGTAAGGCAGGGCACCATCCTTACCCTCTGTTCATGCGAACACCCACTAACACCCATCTATTTGTGTCAATTTCATTTTTTTTCATTTTTTTTCGCTTCTTTCCCGCAGAGGCTTGTTATCCTGTGATACTCGCGTCCCGGCGAAATTGTCTGTTTAGGAGACGGTCTTTCTTTACGGTTCTCTTTTTTTCCGTGTGGCTGAGTGTGCTTATTTGGGTCGTTTGTATACATCTAAATTTCCACGTTATACATTTATTGGAAGAGATATAGCTTTCGTAAATGTGCGAATCTGCATCGAGCGTTGTTTTCTTCAATATAAATGCCAAGTTTGAAAAATAAAGTTTTGCGTGAAAGCATCGTTGATTTTAGTATCTGCGCAGACACCTGCGGTTCGGAGTTTTGTAAATATCTCAGCATCATTAGAGTATTTTAGTAGTCAGTACTAAAACATAGCGCCCACTATGTATTAACTACAATGCATATGGAGCGGAATTGAAGTTCGCTTTCAAGCATCGAACGAATATGTTTCAACTTATAGTGTACTGTATTAAAAACTAACTCTTTCTACTTCTGTTCAGCAAACACGAGGTGTTATTTTATTTCTTCATTTACGTACAAACTGACGTTTCGGCGGATTTTGCCTTCCTCAGAGCCTGGAAAGGTCAAGTTGACAGCAACCTATTTGGCCAAACACCTCCATAACCAAACAAAGAAAACGTTAAACCAAGATTTCAATCGCATTGAACACATCTCTGCACTCTCACCGCTTTCTATGAGTTTCCCACTGAGTATGTCGCGTGAAGACCAACCGCACAGAATTCACATGGAAGCGTAATGTGCCCTCCCATCAGAATAACAGGTTTATATACTGTCTAGTATCACGCGTGATAATGAGGCATTCCTCCCTGCGGTCCATTTTCGGATTTCTGGAATTAATCCAGAATGCCTCGAGAGTTTTGCGCGCTTGTGTTCTCGATTCTTGTGCGAGGATCGTGACACGTGCTTCAAAGTCCTCTCCGTTATGTCCCTGGGTCCTATGCGTGCCTAGTGGGGTATTTAGTTGACGTTTGCCGGCTAGGTGTTCTTTTATGCGGACACAGAGGGGTCTGCCCGTTTCGCCAATGTATTCGTCTCCACACGCCTTACGGGAGATCAGATAGACTGTACTCGAACTCATGCAGTCACCGTCTCTACCACTGAGGCAAATTATGCATTTTTGCGTTGCACATAGACGGTCATATAGGTGGTTGCGAAATAGTTAGCGCCTAAGATTATATGATGGCATTTCAACTACGTTTACCGAATTCTCTAGGCCCGCCCTTCTTAAGCAGCGTTTTATAGCCGCACTTATTTCATTTGAGATGAAGGGTAGGATAAACGGGACCTTTCTGCCGTTAGAGTTGTCGTTTGGGGTTCTAGGATTTTTCCCTGCACCTATCCCGAGCTACAGCTTCGTGGCCATTAGAAATGGCTGTTTGCCGCGCCAAGTTCCGGTGCTCCTCTCTTTGCTCTCTTCGAAAGAGGAGAGGTAATGTACCAGGATGTTTTTAGTACCTGGCTGTCGGTACCACTTCGTGGTGTTGCCATTTTTACCTCTCCTCTCACCCCTCTCGCACCAAAAGGGCGCTTATAAGAAACATGTTTCGAACGGCAACCAACATGTGCACGGGAAGAGAGCAGAGAGAGGAGTCCCTGAATTTGGCGGGGGAAATAGCCATTTCTAATGGCTACGAAACTGTAGCTCGAGGTAGGTGTCGGGGAAATCCGGGGCACTCAAACGACAACTCTAGTGGTGGAAAGGTCCCGTTTATCCCACCCTTCATTTGAAATGATGTTGGGAGGGGCACTTTACGCTACCATGTAAATTCGGTGCGGTCGGTCTTCACGCGACATACTCGGTGGAAAACTCATAGAAAGCGGTGAGAGTGCAGAGGTGTGTTCATTGCGATTGGAATCTTTGTATAACGTTTCCTTGTTTGGTTATGGAGGTGTTTGGCCGAGTAGATTGCTGTTAACTTGATCTTTTCAGGCTCTGAGGAAGGCGAAATCCGCCGAAACGTCAACATCTACTAAATAAAGAAATAAAATAACAGCTCGTGTTTGCTGAACAGAAGTAGAAAGAATTATTCAATCAGTGCTGAGGTTAATAGAAGGTCGGATGTGGGAGTTGAAAAGTAACTTTCGAGAAATTGAAGAAAGATTGAAACATTGAGTAGAAAGCGTCTAATGCGGAAAAAGTGACTGCTATTAAATGAGTGCTAAATGAGGTTCAAACCAGCACAACTCATTTCATATCAAGCTGGATTAGCTGGAATGAGGACTTCTTCCTACTGTGACACATTGGAATTCTAATTTTTTGAAGACGATGGCATGCATTTTTTCCATTTTAGACTTATCTCTTGAATACGAAAGCAAATGAACATGCGCCATTTCGTCCGTCAGGCCCCGATAATTTCCATGAATGTTTCGTTTGTGTTCCCATCTAGTTTGCTTGCGTTGGAAATTTTAGAAGATTTAAATTTCATTCCCACTGTTTTCAATATTCCCTCTTCTAAATTTATTTAAGACCGGAATAATACAGTACAGAAATTGTGCTGAAGATTGAAGCAATAGAGGTAATCTCTTCTATACAACAGTGAAGTTCCCAACTCCTCAAATTCCCTAGTTGTCAAGAAGACAGTGTCAGTGGCCGAAAGACTAGTTTGGAGCTCTATTTGTTAATCGAAGTAAGGGCCATTTGAATTTGTAGATTCTTGCCTACAAGATTTATGGTATATTGATTTATCACAACAAAAGTCTGCTTTATTTACCATATGATACGTATTTCTTGCTTTTTTTTCGTTAAGTTCACAAATACAACTGAAAAGCGGGATTCCGTCGAAGACGAAATGCAAAATGTTCTCCAGTGTATTATTTTTGCTCGAGGCTGTTTTAAATTTCGTTGTTAATTGGCTTGCAAATTTTAATTCTAAACGAATTTGAAGTTGGAAGCATAAAGCAAAGGGAAAAGATCTCGGTGCTGATCAATCTCCTTGAGGGTTGCACCATGCATTCGACTTCATTAAGCATCGTTTGGAGGAGACTGAAAGCATATCTAGCCCATACAATGACTCGCAGTGCCTTACCGATATATCGAGCCAGTGCTGTTATCCTCCCAGACAAGTGTGGTACGAAATTTGTCGACCCCGGAGAGATGAAAAGTTTGCTGGGCCATGGGTGCGGGGATCGACTCCACGTGTGTGTCGCAGGGCGCCGCCGACCACTGTGCCACACGCGCTACAGTTAAAAGCGTATTTATATAAATTGTATGCACGCTCTAGAAGGTAGTGAAAAGTCCCCTCTGTGGAGCTATGAAGTTCTTGGATCTTCAAATACTCTTGTGATCGAGAAATCTTGGCCAACTCTCAGAAAGGTTTACATTGTGAAGTTCCAGCTTGGTAAGGAATACAAGCTTGACTTATCGTTCTCGGATCTCTAGAAATTGATACAATAGTTCTCTAAATACCTTTGTATAACTTTACTCATGTTTTTGTGCTCCCGATAAGTTGAGATGGCGTTATGAATGAACCGTCTACTTAGGGTGCCCAAAGTTTCGGAAGATTTCGCGATCTTCCAAGTGTGTCACTTGTCAAATCCTTAGACGAGGTATGATCATTGCACAGTTTTTGCATGGAATGTTCTCGTTTTACTATAATCATTTGAAGTTGCTGCGAAAGGCAATTTTTCATGAAGAATAGCTACATTCCATAATTGAATCCGGTACAACCATGTAGAAGAACTACTAATAGTGTAGACGATATCACAAAGGGTGCTAGCTAGGATTTATGTGAATATTCAAGTCCGAAATAATCGACAACTCACTAAAATAGCAAATATCTGGAAGAGTTTTCAAATATTAACTGCATAAAATGCCACTCATAAAAGTTATTGAGTGTGGTTGTAGAATTATTGATGTTGTTCGATTTTCCGACGTAGTTCATCTTCGAGACTGCCTTCGATAACATCCTAAGATGTAGATTTCTAGGGAGACTTAATGTTGTTGATTTACGACTAGTGTTTGTTTATTTTGGATCCTAGGCGAACTAAGTCAGAGAAAGGTATGGTTGAGAGAGATATCGCACCTCTAGTTCAGCTAGGTCTTGGTGATTATCTTATAATTAGTAGTTTTTTTTGCAAAACTTACAACTTGTACTTCATTGCGCATGAAAATGAATGTCGGCATGACTTTGATGTCAAATCGTGATGCAATATCTTCCTAAACATGTTTTTTCATTCTGAGATATCCATAACTGTTCGATTGTATCGCATGGTATCATGCCTTAAATATTAGTTAATCTCCGGTAACTCTCTTGGTTTATTGCTAAGCTTACATAAGGTTATTTTTCATTTGATCCGTCTCCACATGCACAGTGTGGATCCCAGCACTTCTTGCATTCGTTTCATTTCCTCGAATCCATCATCCACGTGGTCTTCGTACTTTTCGTGCGTGGGTTCGAATACTGTTTAAGGATGGTGGCATTCCTTATGATTGCCGATGAACGCTGTTTGTGCCCATCTCCTTGGTGTCTTGAGATAATAGGGCGCCTACTACTCGAGGATATTACAAATTCTTATTATAGCAAAAGTTTTGGCGCTCCGATGATTTGAGTAGAATATTCACAACATGACAATAACCGTTGTGTATAAAATGGCAGTGATTGATGACACTAAGCTATACTTGCGGTTAGCCATTCTATATCATTCCGCTCGATCAGGCTACGAAGACCCAAGTCGCAAGAGGACGCAATTGTGACGGACACTCAAATCATTTTGGCTCTGAAGGTGATACCGCTGAAATTTAACCACAACAAAGAGCTGTAACTACCTCTTATAAGCTCATTAATAAACCAAAACAATGATTATTCATGCTGAGGATAAATAAAAGTCGGTATTGAATGAGGATAAATAAAAGTCGGTATTGAAAAGAAAATCTTACGCTCTCATCAACGTCGACTTTGATGAAAATCACCGATGTGAACTCATCCGACATCCTCTGTAAAAGCACTTTTCATTGAGTAGTAATTTGTCTCGTTTCCAGCATTGCACTGTTGATACTATTCGAAATGATTTAACCAATAGTCACCATGAATTTTGGTCCAATAATTTTACATGGTCCGCACCAGGTAGCATAGAAATCAATGACTACGAGAGTGCTGGGATTTTCTTTTAAGATAGCATCGAACTCGCCCTAAAATATTAGTCGTTTGACATTTTACGTACAGATTCATGGTGCTATATAAACCTTACATAGTTCCTTGAAAGTTTCAAGTTAATACTGTTTTAAGGCTGATATTAGCATAAATCATATGACGCAGGTAAGCGAAGCTTGCTCCTTAGTACTTACCTTATGACACGTTTGCGGTATGAATAACCCAGTGAAAAGTTTCCGTTAGGAGTGCTGCTTTTTATTGGCCGAATCATTACTTGTAATTCGAAAAGTACGACGTGAATTGCCTAGCAACCGCTGAGAGGACGACGTTGGTGTGTATAACAATTGAATGGGGAAAAAAGCAGAAGTCGATGAAACGATTATCGTTGTACATCAAATTACATATCGACAACATTGTCCCAGCTCAAAAAGGACGTTTTGTAAAAGAAGAAGAGGAATTAAAGGAATGAGTTTGTTTTATTTTGAACAACCTTCTTTGAAATAGAAATGCATCGTTAGAAGAAAGCAAGAAGTCATTTTGTTAAGACAAACTGTCAAATGGATTGAATTTACTTCAGATTGATTAGGTGTTGAGAAAAGATCACTTTTCTAAATACATTAGAAATGAAAATGGAGTTTTCTCACCACATCGGCCGGTTCACGTATAGGCATTACGACGGAAATATGACTGACCGCATCGTCTAGAAGGGCGTGACGAAATGCGGTATCAGTAGAGAAAATTGCGTTGAGGAATAGAAAAGATGCTTTGACTCTTCGATTGGGTATTTATGACCCTCAAAGGCAGTACAGCAATAGTTGCTACTGAGTCTCAAGACAAATGATCCAAATCCATCCGAGGTCTGGTGTGCTTGTTTATGGCACCCTATAGTATCATTCAGTAACAACTTCGAAAGCCCTTAAGAACAAAGACAATGTTCTAAAAAAGAATAAAGGGCCACAGTACTCGAACTGTTTCGCAGAATGAGCTGCTTTTGCAATATTTTTACAAAATGCATAGCTTTGTCTTGAAAAAGTGGCTTGGATAGTTGGGTGGTGTGAATAAGGTAAACAGACTCCGGTACAGTTTCGATCTATTTCGTTCTGTCGTATAAATGGCACATAGTTCTCATTTGCTGAGACGTTCATGGATCACCATCCTATGATCTAAAAGCGATTTCCAGCTGCGAATTCTGTCGGTTGATGTGAATAGTAGACACTTCTATCAATCTTATATATTGTTTTCTTAAATGTCGCTTGCATACCGTTGGAACTCACCATGTTGCATTTGTCGTCCATCTGCCGTTCTTTTTTCACCACGGCATCTCTCTATTTCCGCTTTTTTTTCGTTGTTTGTTTTCCCAGGTTTTGAAAACGAAGGCGAGGTAGCCTTGAGCAGCATAGTTCGGCTTTGTGTTAGGCACGCCAGCTATGGTTCAGAAACATTTTTCAGGCGTTTTGCGAGCTATCATTTTGCATTTCCACTACACACCTGCTTTCTTCCCGAATAATCATTCTTTGCTTATATTTTGTTTGCGGCCTATACATTTTTTAATGTAAGGTAGGTTATGTGAGATAAAGCCACTACGATGTTGAGATATGAGAAAATTTCGTAACCTGAACTAGGCTTCCAGTCTGCGATTACCCTTTACTGGTTATCACGTGCTATCTGTCACAGCAATAGAGGCCATAGCTTTGCTTTTCTCCCACTTTGCTTTTCTCCCAGCTACTTGTTTTAAGCGCTAACGGTGTTATCAGCAAAAATCAGACACTTAAACGGTAATAAACTGGAGAGCACATGCCGGCATTGAACGTAGTTAGGTGGAGTCACAATCAAAAGGTTTAGCTTTTATTCAATACCTACTGTTTTTTTTCATGCCATGGTATTACATGAGGTACAACAACAAGAATGGTGAAATATGAGCGAAGCTCGGCACTTCGGGTGGTCTTCAACCTGTCACAACCCTTTCCGAGACCTCATGCGCTGTCCGCCACAGCAATCGAGGCCCTTGCTTTGTCTTTCTCTCTAGAGCCAGTCCCTTAGTCAGTCACTAGTCGACGGATGATTGATGGTAACACCATTAGATTATGGCGCAGAGTTAGCTTGAGATCCTATGTGAGGCAAAGTCACTAGTGGTACAAGCGTTGAGAGGACTACAATCATTACAATGCTGTTAAATTTTTCTTTGATGTTGACAGAGAGCAGCTGGTATTGTGGTCAAATCGACAAATTATGAATGGTATTCCTAACAGACTCCCGTCTTAGACAAGGCTTAGAAGTGATTTGTATAATATTTATACCGCACATACGTTTCTATCATATTCTATCTTAAATGCTCAAAAGTCTTGATGGCCAATGGTGTTTATTGCCAATTTTTTCTTCTCGAGCACCATATACCCTTTCCATCTTGGACAGGAAATTAGAGAATTAATAAACTCGAAAACAATAAGATTCTCTGTTAGTGATAAGAGGGGAGAGTTCGTAGTTATTCCTCGCCAGCTGGATGTTGAGATAACAGAGGAACACCTTAGTGATGCTACCCTCTATCGCCCATCCTCTGAAAAGGAATATAAAAGTCAATACCGAAAGCTAAACAATCAATGGGTCAGCGTGGCAAAGGCTGCGGGTTTAAAATCATTGGTTATTTCGCACTTTAAAATCGATAGACCAACATGTGCTGTCCTATACCTACTTAATAAAACACATAAGCTGGTATCACCTGATGATCATGCGTCAACCAATCCGTCATCATTTAAGGTTAGACCAATCATCAGCTGTGTAGACGGGCCAACGGATAGAATAACCTGGTTTTTAAGCCTGATACTCACGCAGTTGCTTAACCACATTCCAGCCCACCTCACAAACACCCAAATGTTCCTGGAACGTCTACGTAACGCGTCTCCCAATAACGCGTACGTGATGGAGTCTTTCGACGTTACCGCACTGTACACCAACGTGTCGAATGACTTCGCAATGCAAACCATCTTCGAACTTCTTGTTGAACATGAAGGAAGAATAAATATGCATGGCTTGCCCATCCAGCAGCTAATGGCTCTCTTAAAGGAGTGCCTAAACTGCTCGATTTTCAGATGGTCTGGGAAATAACTCGAAAGACCGACTTTCTATGAACCTCGGCATAAATAGTTGATATATTTATTTATGAGATCTTATAAACTGATTTTCTTAAGCTGACGCGAGGTTGGTACAGATCTTCGTTGTCGTTGTCGTTGTCGTTGTTTTTGATGTTATTGATCGATGGCTGACGTTTCGGCGACTTCGCCTTCCTCAGAGCCTGGACGTACTTTATGTTAGAATACTTTTTATTATTCGGTGGAAAAGAAGGTTAAGGTATTAATGAAATATTTCGCGCAAATAAGGGGGTTGGCAATGGAACAGTGACTGGTACCAAGCCTTGCCATTGTGTTTATATCCAAGATAGAAGCCCCTGCTCTTGGACCTCCGGCCACTACTCTACTGCAGATGTGTAGATGATTGTTTCGTCTTCTCTACGCAAGAGGAGATGGATAAATGCTTTGAATTATTAAACGGGCAGTCTGAGTACATAAAGTTCACCCAGGAGGAACCGAGAAAAAACTGGCTTCCCTTTTCGAACGTTCAAATAAACCTATCAAGTAGCAGTGACTTTACAAAGCGGTACCGAAAGCCAAGTAACAATAACATCCTCGTTCATTTGCTTTCTTACCATCCTTCATACACAAAGACGGCGATTGTGAGAACGATGTTTCGAACAGCCACCTCTGTGTGCACTACCAGGGAACTAAAGGAAGAATCGCGCCACTTGGCTCGGCAGATAGCCATCTCCAATGGCTACAAAATAGTAACCCCACGAGATAAGTTTAGAAGGAGAGCGACGCGCCCATGCGAAACACTTGGCCAAAAAAAAGTCCCGTTTATGTTGCCTTCTATAAGCGATGAAGTAAGCGTAGCTATAAAACGATGCTTAAGAAGGGCAGGTCTAGAGGAATCGGTAGGGATAGTTGAAATACCACCGGCTACTCTACGTCGTCAATTAGTTCGTAATCGCCTGTATGACCGTCTGCGTGAAACAACAAATTACGTAATTTGCCCTTACGGCAGAGACGGTGATTGCATGAGTTCAGGTACGATATACCTGATCTCTTGTAATAATTGCGGACATGAATATATTGGCGAAATGGACCTTTGTGTATCCTTATAAAAGAACACCTAGATGGCAAACGAAAACTAAGACGAAGCACCCCGCTAGGCACGCATAGGATACAAAAGCACAGCGGAGACGATTTTGAAGTAGAAGTCAATATCTTTGCACAGGAGTCTAAAACACCAGCGCGAAAACTTTTTGAGGCTTTTTGGATAAATGCCAAAAACCCTACAATGAATAGCAGCGATGAATGCCCGGAGGTCATACGCGACCTGATCCCGTACGTTCGCATCGATTTTTGATGTGGGATGGTGCAGTCGTCAACCACATGCGACTATAATCAGCTGTTCTAAACTTCCTCATTCATCAGAAGTCACGTAAAAGGCGGTGTTTTTTGAGAAGCTGTTGATCATGTAATTACCGGAGAGTTTTTCGTCTTTTTGTAAGTGTTATTGGAGCGTTTGGCCTAGGAGATTGTATATCAGCATATCCTTCCAGGCTCTGAAGAAGGCGATACTGCCGAAACGTCAGCTAGTGCTGTATTGTATTGTGTTTTTCTATGGAAGTAAATGTATGCTGTTTAAAAACCTCGCGATTGCTGAACAAGAAAACGACGCATTCATAAAATTTTGAAGTTCTGGAAGCGATGAATTCGTTGAAGGCATTTTTTGCGTCATCGTGGATGGTGAGGCATGCATTTCTCGTACAGGATGTTGTCAAGGTGTTTGAGGAAGTGATAGCCTGTAGACAAGTGGTCTGATGAATATGGTAGATAAGGCGAAGTTTCGTAGCCCAACTCGTTCAACTTTTGCAACGCTGGTTCGTCAACGTGAGGCCGGGCGTTGTCGTAGAGAAGGATTGCTTCCTGTCTGTTGACTAATGCTGGTCGTTGTTTTTGGA